GGGGGGGGGGGGCCACGGCCAGTGTCCACTGGGAAACCTCACAAGGGGAGTCGGGAGGTGGGCAGGGGTCGCTCTCACGGCCTGCCACCTGCAGACCCAACAGGAAGAGAGGGGCTCGCCCAGCACGTGGGCGCTCCTCTGCTGCCCTAGCCTGAGGAAGGACCTTTCCCCACCCCTCCGAACAGCTGCGCCAGGGAGAAGCCACACGTCCACCCCCAGCTTACCGCCACACATTTAGCTCGTCACAGCCCTTCCAGCTTACCCTTTTCTCTTTGAAACCGCCTGCCTTTCCTTTGTCCCCACACCTGCCTATGGTTTGGCCGCAGCATGTTTGTCCCGGACTGTAATTCTACTTTATTCCTTGATGTGTCCATCTTTCGCTGGTAACATAGCTGGCATGCTCTGTTTCTAAGGTGAACATCCCACACTTCACCAGGTCTACAGACCGGTGTTGTCAACCACCTTCCCCTGCACCAGCCTCAGCTGGCAGGAGCCCCCTGGGCGGGGGCGTCGCTTCCTCTGGGACCTGAACTTGCACGGCAGCTCTCGGGGAGCCAGGGCTGGGCCGGTTCCGGCAGCCTGGCCGTGAGGGGGCGCCTGCAAGGTGGTTCTGGCCGCAGAGAGCACTTTGGGATTCTCTTAGGGCTACGGAAGTCTGCGCTCAGGAGAAGCAAGACCAGGTGTTGTATTTTGAAAGACTGTCCCAGGGGAGCCTTGGGTGGCTCAGTTGGTTAAGTGTCTGACTCTTGATTTCAGCTCAGGTCATGGGTTCAAGCCCCGAGTCCGGCTCTGCACTGACAGCATGGAGCCTGCTTGGGATTCTCTCTCTCTCTCTCTCTCTCTCTCTCTCTCTCTCTCTCTCTCTCTCTCTGTCTCCCTCTCTCTCTGTCTCCCTCTCTCTCTGTCTCCCTCTCTCTCTCTGCTCCTCCCCTGCTCTGCTCTCCCTCCCTCTCTCAAAATAAATAAGTAAAAATTATTTTTAAAACATAAAAAACAAAGACTGTCCTAGCCGAGGCCGAAGCCTGAGAGGTGGGAAGCAGCCAGAGGCTGAGGCCATTACCTGGGCAGAGCCTATGACTCTGGGGGTGCCCGGCGGGCTCATTCGGCGAAGCGTGCAACTCTTGATCTCGAGGTAGTAAGTTCGAGCCCCACATTGGGTGCAGATATTACTTAAAAATAAAATCTTAAAAAAAGAAAAAAGCCTATGACTTTGGATTGAAGGGGTGGACTCAGGCTCAGGTCAGATGCTGGCTTGTCCACCGACCTGTGTGTGTGTGGCTGTGGGCACGTGGCTACACTTGGCCGCCAGGGTCAGTGGCGCCTGTGCCTGCCTGGAGGGCCGCCCTCAAGGAGCAAGAACTGAATGGTCACAAGTAACAGCCACAGAGCAGAATGGACCCAAGCACGGAAGGCCCAGACCCGGGGCTTTGGGCCTTGATCGGAGGGTGGACAGGAGCACCGTGCGGCCGGACAGGAATGGTCAGCAGACCACCAAGGGCTTGTAATACCACAGAGCGGGTTGAACTTCCTCCTGAGGCTCGCAGGAAGGGAAGCGGTGAGCAGATCTGTGTTAACGGCCGTGGAGGACAGATGTGGGGCCAGAGGCCTGGAGGAGGCTGTGGTCTCTGC